TCTGTAGTTTCAGGTTTCTAGATTTTATGTTTATTATTATGTCATATACATTTTTGCTTTCTGCTCTTTTTATGTAGATTTCAAGTATTTAAGTTCATATAATAATACATTTATTTCAATCCCCTGCTGAAAAACAACAACAACAATAGAAACCATCAATAGAACTTGTAATGGTTTTACTGGTTATAATGGAAATTGTATTGTTTTAATGGAAATTGTAATGGACCCTATTGATCTCTACTGGTCATTGGTTGCCTATTATTGTTGTTAAATATTATTATTGTTAAAACCACTAAATCCTAATGGAACATGTCCCAAAACACACTACAGGAAACCATTATTTAATGGTTTTAATGATTAAAAGTTGATGGTTTGTAATGTTTGTAATGGCATTTGTAGTGGAAACCATTAGAATTTCTGTGATGGTTTCTATTGTTTTTTTCAGCAGGGTCACCTTGGGTTTTGTGATGTTATTTGCCATAAATGCGATACATTTATTGCTGTAATATTGTGAGATAGTAGCGGCTGTTTGTAGTTGTGGTGGGCCTATTTGGGAGAAAATCCAGGGCCGTTTTTTACTCCCAGTCCGTCCCTGGGGAGGAGGACATTATTACTGACGGAAAGAACAGTTAGTGATTTTCTTGAAACATTCAAACTTCATATGGTTACGTTTCCTTTCTCTAAAGTGTTGGCGTTCAGCTCACCTCCAGATGCAACTAAAGGGTAAGTTGTAGGGCTGTCAAAATGGCTGAAAAACTAAATACAATTTTGTACTTCAATATTATCAATATTTAAATGATATTCAAATTTAAAAGGCATAATTTCAGTTAGCGGGAAAAAAGGATTTTGGCTTAGTTCCTTCAATGCACATTTCTTCAAAGCGATGAAATAACTGGGGGAAAAAAGTGCATAATGTTTAAAATAATTTTATAAACCAAATATAATTAATTAAGTTGCTTAAACATTTATAAACAAAACAACATCATGACGCTGCTCCCATTAAGCGCTGTTGGAAGTGAATTAATTGATTCAGCATTTCGACACTTCCGTAAGGATGCGTTAAATTTGACAAGGATGTATTGATCTTGTGAATTAGCAAATTTTACTACACCAATATTTTTTAATTGGCTGTTAAAGTTTGTTGGGAATATTACACAACACTCTGATCCTTTAACAATGCATTGGCACAAAAAGGCACACATTTTGGACCGATTTCACAACATGATTTCTCGACTGCCACAAATACTGCGTAAACAAAATACTGATTTTGTGCACTTTTTATTGTACCAATATTTTAAATTGGCCTTTGAACTTGGCTTTATTGCATGGCAAAAAAAGACTTACCTTGACAAAGCACTGACAGAACCCATTGATCTAATGATGTTGTTAAGTGCTCCAAATGCAAACTTTGCATGCGACAATCAGGCAGCAATTGACATCACTCTGATCCTATGGCATACAGGCATCGTCAGAATGACAGTACTGTAGCCCAATGATGTTGGGGGATCCAGTGGGGGCGGCAATCATATTTCAGGGTGGCCGTGCCACTCATCACAACCCTGCTAAAATGTAACACCAGTACATGCGCTCATTGGCGCCCCCTCCTGCTGGTGGCGCCCTAGGCCCCAATAATCTATGCCTAGAAACGGTACTGACATCATGTATGTATGCATAGTTTAATACAAAAGGCCGAAAGCCAATCACACAGAGTACTTTTTCATTTAAAAACATGAGATGCAGTCGGATGGGGAAAAAAATAGCCATAAAGTCTAGAGACATGTTTTTTAAAAGATGAACTTACATTACTCAAGATAATGTGCAAAATATGGGTTCTGTGTGAACAGCTTGTTTTAAAAAAACAAGATCTTCTCTGCATTGATGTTCTCTTTTTCCACAATATTTTGAATGTACAACACAGCAGCACCGATTCTAGTGGGTTGAACTGGATAAGCTAACAAAAACATTCAAATGCAACGACACTTTCATTGTCATCACATCTCATGTGCCACTGACAAGGCTGCCTTATGCACACTTCATTTTTTTAACACATTTTTCGGACAGCCCTAGTAAGTTGCTCTGTCTTCGGTAGTTATTTAATGTGTCATTGCATAACACTTTCAGTTTAATTGTAAATGTTCATTTCCAGCATGAATCCCTCGCTGGGAGCTGCATTTGGTGCTACATCTCTGACGAGGCAATGTAATCACCAGGCCTTCCACAAACACGGCAGATCTACCATCACCTCTGACATGATCCGAGAGATAGGCAGCGCTTTCAAGACACTGTTTGAAAGCTAAACTACATGTGTGTATCCATTCTCTTTTCATGGCCATTATAAAGACTAAAGGTCTGCATCTCAATGCTATTCACATTAATTACAAGTGAAGTACATTGTTGAGCATCTAAAAAGCATTTTAAAGTGCCTCTGTAGTTCTGCAATACTGTTTCAGCTACTTATGCACTTTCATGTTTGTGTAGTGGACCTCTGTAAACGTCGCACAGTTTTTTTTACATCTATGTCCTTAGATGTGTGTTATGTTTTGTGAGTGGTTAGACTTGTATATGATAACCCATGAAGAGATCATTTTAATTAACACTGTCCCTCTATGAATAAATTGCTAACATACTATCAGCTGCAGTTTATTTATTGGTCTGCTTGAAAACTTCTAAGCATTCAAACCTTTATAGTGAATCTCATCCTCACTGTTTAACACCTTATTTTCTGTCAATAACTCACAATCCCTATTTAGTATGTGGGACAAATGCAAAAACTGAAAGTGGCTGTCACTTTTTATATAGTTTGCTATTCTACGTATTAAAGCTTTACAGAATACAGTATCGGCTGCTGTCACTTTAAGACTTAACGCACAGATCCAATGCATTGATACGCATCAGATTTCTTTTTTAACTGTTTATGTTCACTTAAGACATAACCTACTGTGATAATGATTGGTACAAAATATGAATCAATGAGCATCTCTGGTTTGTAATGCATAACATACATAATACACTGAGGTTTGTTAATGAAAAACAGAAATAAGAAAACAATAAGATGCTATGTATCATGTAATAAATTTCACTCTAGCAATAATAGTAATTTAATCCAGTAAATCTGCACTTACCATATTCTGAGCTTTCATATTCTAATTTTCTTCTAATTGCACATTTGTAATGTTCATTGTCACGTGTCCTCTGTTCTTCACAAGGAACTTCCAGTTGATCCTGGCAATAATCCCATACTATAATCCCAAAACAGAGAGAGACATTCCATTACATCTGTACTGTATGTACAGGTGCATCTCAATAAATTAGAATGTCGTGGAAAAGTTCATTTATTTCAGTAATTCAACTCAAATTGTGAAACTCGTGTATTAAATAAATTCAATGCACACAGACTGAAGTAGTTTAAGTCTTTGGTTCTTTTAATTGTGATGATTACTCCTTTTCCACAACATTCTAATTTATTGAGATGCACCTGTATATCATAAAATATATCAAAAGAGCTGCTTGTTCAATAAACAACCTGATGAACTGGGTTTGCTGATTTAGTTGGTCGGACAGCAGGAAAAGTGACCAAAATCCCCTCTAAAACCATCAGACCAGCAGGATCCAGCTCAGTGGACCAGGCTGTTTTTCATCAGAGTAAGAAAAGTGACCTCAGTGAAATATAAAAGGTTAGTTCACAAGACAAAAACTGTAAAAATGTACTCACCCTCATGTCTGTCCAAACCTGAACATTTTAGCAGAATGTTCATGCTGCCAAACCATCATCGACTGAGACGACGTGTTTTCTTTATGTTTGGAAGGCGGCTTTACACTCACAAAGTGCGTTCTTGAGGTGTTGCCATGTCCACCTGTTATAAATGTCTTTGGCCTGTTATTTAGGCTTGGTTCAAAAAGCAATCCAGTTTCTGGAGTTCATAAAGTAGGCAGATGTGATTTTGGTATTATTTCCAATATAAAGCATTTGTATTTGTTTAGGTTTATTATGGCTTGTATCTAGTTTTTAGTCAAAGCTTATACCTCTTGATTTCTAGCAACTGCATGTGCATACAGAAGAAAGACATCTCTGGCACGCATTTAAATACAGCATTAACTACTAGTTGTTCAGAATATTGAGTTGTTTGCATCCCTGGATATTACTGTCGGTTGTTTAACATTTCTATCGTAACACAATTGTCAAATATGAAATGTTTACCGGCTTAGATCTCACTTTTTGACCATTAAAACCGAAGTATATATAGCTATACACAAACTCACACACACACATATATTTATATATAATTTAAATGTATTTATTCAAAAATGCATATAATATATATTAATATATATTATAAACTATACTGTTGTTATTTTGTTGAGTTTTATATATTTATATATTATAAACTATATTGTTGTTATATAAAATGACATTTATTTCATGCACCTTTTTATATTCATATATTTAATGATATTTATGAATGAATAATAACAATAAACCTTTTATATTAAATAATAAATGTAATTATACAACACAACATATCAGTGCATCTTTTATATTTATTTATATTTTATTCACCTTTTTATATTTTATTTATTTGTTATTATTTTTGATAGCTTTATATTTATACTATATTATTAGTAGTAGTTTTATATAATTGTATATATTGATAACTATATAAAATTTCATTTAATTTAATGCACTCTTTTATATTTATTGAATGATATTTATGAATAATAATAATAACAAACTTTGCATATTAAATAATAAATGTAATTATACAACATAGCAGTACTCTTTTATTTATTTATTTAATTATCTGTTATTATTTTGAATAGATTTATATTTTTAATATATTATTATTATTATTTTGTATATTATGATTATATAATGTTTGTAGTTTAGGACTGGGGCAGCCATGAATATTTTCCTCAGGGTACATTGCTCCACTTCTGCGACCTAATTTCAGGGGGCTTGGGTTCCTGTCATGGCCGTCACTGAACTTCCTGTCTTTCCTGTCATTACTTACACTATTTTCTTTTGCTCCCCCTCATTTCTTCTTGTCTGCAATCTAAAACAAGAACCAGGAAAATCAGAAATCAGGTTTACTGTTTAAATAGATTACAACATATAAAAACAATCAAAGAGAAGCAGCATATTTACAGTAAAAAACAATGGAAATTTAAGGACTGAAATAAAAATATATCAGAAAGTATAAACATTCAGCATATCATCTGACTGTATGACACTTGCAAAAAAAGCTAATGTCTATAGCCTGATAAATAAACCAAAACAAATCAAAAATACTTGAAAATCATTCAAATTTGCTTACCATAAACCAGTCGTGGAGACTAAGTTTCTCCAGTTCAATCCGCTCTTTCGGATTGATTTGCAGACAGCAGTGAATAAAATCGCTGCATTCTTCCGACAAGCCGTCTTTGGTCCAGTTGTTACCGTTGATCATGCGCAGGTCTCTTCTATTTGGAAAATCCCCACACAGCATTACAAACAAGAGGATCCCGAGTGACCACACTGTCGCTGGTTCCCCGTGGTACTTGCCGGTCATGTAATACTCAGGAGGGCAGTACTCTCTTGTGCCTGGAGGAAAGAGATTTTGTTTACATTAACATATACATTTATACATATACATTATGTAATGTACATATACATTAACACACTAGATCCCATTCCATGATGCTTCATGTGAGCTTGATTCACTCAAGAGTCCTGTGTGAAGGGCCCTCAACTCATCACCAGAGTTTGAGACCAACTATAACCTTTGAGGGATCATACATACCAGCAAAGGACGTGTAACCCACACCGTTGAGGAATTCACCACACCCAAAGTCAGTTAATTTGACTTCGAGTGTGTCCGGGTTAATCAGAAGGTTTTCCAGCTTTATGTCCCGGTGTGTGTGTGTGTGTGTGTGTGTGTGTGTGTTGTATGGTAGGTTTATGGTACCAAACTCACCCATTATTGTGCCGTTGTTATTCTCCTTGTCTGCAGTCTGAAACAACAGAAATCAGGTTGAGTGTCAAAATACACAAACAGGACGGAAAACAAATGCACAACAAAAAGAGGCAACATTCTTGGAGTAAAAAAACTGGATGTTTTAAGAACAGGTCAAATCATTTCAGAAGGTCTAAACATACAGCGCTGCAACTTGTCATCTGTGCAGTGCATGAGGATTGACTATATGACAGTTACAGCACATAGGAAAAGAAAACTATAAAAAGAAAGAGTAAGAAAGCTAATATCCATAGTCTGATAATTAAACCAAACCAAATCAAAAATACTTCAAAATTATCAGAATGTATTTACCATAAACCAGTCGTGGAGACTGAGTTTCCCCAGTTCAATCCGCTGTTTTGGGTCAATCTGTAGACAACGGCGAATTAAATCGCAGCATTCTGTGCAGAAAGAAGATAGAGATGTCTGATTATCATTTTGAACTTAACACCTGATCTCTTTGATCGACAGTCAAATTATCCCAACGACCATTCTTAATTAAGCCACTGATTTACAACTGATTTTTGCTGAAGTGAAGATCTCACCTTTCGACAAGCCAGCTTTGGTCCAGTTTTTAGCATTAATCTTGTGCAGGTGTCGTCTCTTCGGAAATTTACAAAACAGTATCACAAACAAGAGGATCCCGAGTGACCACACTGTCCCTGGTTCCCCGTGGTACTTGCCGGTCATGTGATACTCGGGAGGGCAGTACTCTCTTGAGCCTGGAGATGACATTTTGTTTCCATTAACACAGCATTTTAACTAGATACTCATTATCATGCAAGAAATGATTTGATGCCATTTGATTCACAACAGTGGATCCCATTAGACACCCACTTCACAGCTTTGAGGGATCATCATACATACCAGCAAAGGACGTGTAACCCACGTCGGTGAGGATTGCACCACAGCCAAAGTCAATCAATTTGACTTTGAGTGTGTCCGGGTTAATCAGAAGGTTTTCCAGCTTAATATCCCGGTGCAACACTCCACGAAGGCAGCACATTCGAGCTGCGAATATTGCCTGGTGCATTATAACTCGTGCCACGTCCTCTTCCATGGTGCCCTTGTAGCACTTTAAATATTCATACAAGGACTGACAGGGCATGGGCCGCTCTAGGACCATAAAGTAATAGTCAGGATCCACCTGCCAGTCCAGGAGCTGGATGATTTCCTCAACCCTGGGGCTTTTATTTGCAAGAATTTGCAAAGCGACCTCCAATGGAAGGGGCTTGGAACAACCGTCCTAGAAGAAAGACAGTTGTTCTGATGGTTAGACAGATATAGGACTTAAACAAGTTAAACTTAACAACTGTTGACAATGGCAGACTGCATACTGAAAAATCACTTCGAGTCTGTGGTTAATGTTAATATGAGATGTTTGAAATTGAAAACAATGACTGAGAGGAGAAACAGAGAGAGCACAGCCTACTTACAATGCTGATGAACTTTGTGTTCCTGTTGGATGCAAATTTTATCGCCACCTGATCAACAAAACAAAAAAGGGATGTGTGTAAGATTTACAATTCATTTATCATTTCAAACATTAACCCTGAATAGACATGTACATTTTCATGAATTTAAATAGTCTAAACAGGTCTGACAGGACAAGTGCTTTAAATAGTTGATGTACACTAAGAGTGCTTGCACTATATAAGACAAGTATAATAAGACAAAAAATTTTAGCTAGAAAAATAATGTAAGTAATACAAACTGATACCTGTAGGCCATCATCCAAACGAGTCGCTGCATAAACGGTTCCAAAGCCTCCTTCACCCAGCTGACTGCCAATTTCATAACGGTGTGAATTGATGTCTTTTAAAAGATAAATAAGAGATGTCAACATAAAATGTCACAGTGACAGCACTTACTTCATCTATTTAAAAACTACAATTAATTGAGAAAAAATATAATAATTGGGATACTACATTGAATATTTGTGCCTTTAAACAATCATTTGTCACACTAAAAACTATTCAAGTTACCTGTACTTGTCATACATAAATACAATTGAAATACCTTTAAATTAATTGCATTTCCATGTTAACTACTCTTAAACAAAATGCATATTAAAGTCAATCTGAAGTATAAACTTTAAAGTGTGTGTGTGTTGGATTATGTTGTGGTAGCAAACTAACCAATAATTGTTGTTTCATTATCCTGTAGCTGGCTTGAATGAGTTTGGGGAGCATAACCACTACAGTCAGGTGCTGCACAGGTTGTAGCTTGGGGGACATTGACTCTACAGTCTAATGTTTCGTGGACTGGAGACTGAGGGACGCCAACACTCAAGTCAGCTACAAAACGGACTGAAGCTTGGAGGGCTTCATCTCTACAGTCAGACGTGACATAAAATAAAACTGGAGGGACGTCATCACTACTTTTGGACATCACAGAGAATAAAGCAGGAGGGACGTCATCACTACTTTTGGACGTCACAGAGAATAAAGCTGGAGGGATGTCATCGCTACATTTGGACATTGCAGGGACACTGGCTGGAGGGACATCAACACTTAATATGGACTTGGCAGAGAAAAAAGCTAGAGAGACGTCATCACTTAATTTGGATGTGCCAGAATAAAATAAAACAACATCACTTAATTTGGACATCACAGGGAAAAAAGATGGAGGGACGTCACTACTTAAATTGGACATGGCAGAGAAAAATGAGACATCATCACTTAATTTGGACGTGGCAGAGAAAAATGAGACGTCATCACTTAATTTGGACGTGGCAGATAAAAATGAGACGTCATCACTTAATTTAGATGTGCCAGTGAAAAATGAGACGTCATCACTTAATTTAGATGTGCCAATGAAAAACAAGACGTCATCACCTAATTTGGGCGTGGCAGTGAAAAACGAGACGTCATCACTTAACTTGGGCGTGGCAGTGAAAAATGAGACGTCATCACTTAGTTTGGACATGGCAGTGAAAAACGAGATGCCATCACTTAATTTAGATGTGCCAGTGAAAAATGAGACGTCATCACCTAATTTGGGCATGGCAGTGAAAAACGAGACGTCATCACTTAACTTGGGCATGGCAGTGAAAAACGAGACGTCATCACTTAACTTGGGCGTGGCAGTGAAAAACGAGACGTCATCACTTAGTTTGGACATGGCAGTGAAAAACGAGATGCCATCACTTAATTTAGATGTGCCAATGAAAAACAAGACGTCATCACTTAATTTAGATGTGCCAATGAAAAACAAGACGTCATCACTTAATTTAGATGTGCCAATGAAAAACAAGACGTCATCACTTAATTTAGATGTGCCAATGAAAAACAAGACGTCATCACTTAATTTAGATGTGCCAATGAAAAACAAGACGTCATCACTTAATTTAGATGTGCCAATGAAAAACAAGACGTCATCACTTAATTTAGATGTGCCAATGAAAAACAAGACGTCATCACTTAATTTGGGCATGGCAGTGAAAAACAAGACGTCATCACTTAATTTAGATGTGCCAGTGAAAAACGAGATGCCATCACTTAATTTGGGCGTGGCAGTGAAAAACAAGACGTCATCACTTAATTTAGATGTGCCAATGAAAAACGAGACATCATCACTTAATTTGGACGTGGCAGTGAAAAACAAGACGTCATCACTTAATCTGGCAGAATTGTCGTCATCAGTACAGCTGGATGCAGCACAGACTGTAGTTTGGGGGACGTCATCAGAACAGCTGGACGTGGCACAGACTGTAGTTTGGGGGACGTCATCAGTACAGCCGGACGCGGCACAGACTGTAGTTTGGGGGACGTCATCACTACAGCTGGATGCGGCACTGAAAGAAGCTGGAGAGAAGTGAACAGCAGAGTCGGATGTGGCACAGACTGTACCTGTGTCATTGACTTCTCGACCTAAAGGGGAGAATATGGACCAAAAGATATTAATCATTAAAAGAACATTTATGAAATATTTTATAACTATATTAACAGATACTCATATTACTGCAACTATACGCTTGCTGTAAATTATGAAGTGACCTTTTGGAGGCATGGCTTTCTATTTTTTTCAGTAAATGGTCAATGTATACATCATGTACATTTCTCTTATTTAAAAGCACAATGCTCATGAACATGCCAGAAAAAAAAGGCATCCATGCATGTATAATACATGCATGGATGTCTTTTTTTCTGGCACCATGCATGGATGTCTTTTTTCTGGCATGATCATGAGCATTGTGTTTTTAAATAAGTGAAATGTTTAAAAACAATCAAACATTAAAAAAGTGCCTTTACAGCTCCCAAATTAGTTGCGTGTATGAATATTAATAAGGTCATCCAAAGCTTGCATGGTAACCTTAGCATGTAACTTAAATATTTGTGTGACTAGATCATGACACTTAGACATTAAATTAGGTGTCATGCCATTACAATGAATTAAAACATCACTTAATGTAATTACAGTAATATTGATTTGCAAATTCCCTTTGTGAATTTCAGTTTTTGTGTAAATTAAAATATGAACTTGAAAGAAGTGAAAACTTGAAAGTAACATGTCCTGTGTTGATTTTATGTTTCTGAATTGTGTTTGTGTAGTATAATTTGTGTTATGCTGTGTTGTATTAAGTTACAGACTTTATAAAACTGAACTTCAGCTAAGCCCCTAAATTCTTCACTGTGTCCTCTAAAAAACCTTTAAACATCCAAATAAGTGTAGAATCCTGTGCAGACTCCAGTACAGAAAGGGAGTTGCTGCATATTCATAACGTGGACATATCATTTACCATCATCACTCTGGTCTGCTTTTTCTTCTTGACCTGAGTGGGTGTTGTTGACTTTTTCCCTCTCTCTTTGAATTAAAGCAATTACTCCTAGCAACGTAAGTAGCATTTTGAAATAGTAACTAGCGTTGGCTGGAAGAAATGCAAAGTGAGAAAAATACTAGAATGCAACTAGCAATAAAACGACTAGCGTTGGCTGCAAGGTGTGCAAAGTGCAAACAATGCAACTAGCAACGAACCGCAAGTGATTTATCAGACACGTCAAAGTGAGCCTTTTTATTACTGGCATATAACTGTGACGTCACGAACCAACTGACATTCCAATGCTGCTCGCAGAGGGCCGTTGGTGATTGGTCCGTTTTCCGTTGTGGGCGTGGCTTCTGCGTAGCCGCGTAATAGCTCGTAGTGTGGGTAACATGCTGTTTGTTTAGTATATTAATGCTTTCTTATTAAACGTTGCCAATTTAAGACGTTTACAGGTAAGAATTGTCTAATATTGGCATGTATTTTGCGCTGTAAATGATGTATGTGATGTACATTTAAGTTGTTTGACTCAAGCATGAATTAAAAGGAGCAGTGTGTGGTGATCGCGAGCTCTTGTATTGTCATTAAAACACAAGATATGACCAATCATCTTTAATACATGTAGCTAAGATTATTTAAGGCATAATTTTAATGATTATTTATATAAAAATAGTTACATGATGTTAAAAATCGTAAACAACATTATGCAACCTATGTACATGGTGTTTACGTTCAGATCAAAGCATAAACAACGTATCTGCGTACGATGCTGCTGACAGCATATGTTACGTTCATTACGTTGTTTACTTATGTGATACTCTCCAAAATGGCGCTATAGGGTGACACGGAGGAGACGAATTGTTGAATAAAGTCGTTATTTTTGTTTTCTTTCCGCACAAAAAGTATTCTCGTAGCTTCGTAAAATTACGGTTGAACCACTGATGTCACATGGATTATTTTAATGATCTCCTTGCTATGTTTCTGAGCCTTAATCGTGTTAGGACCCTTGCTGTCTATGGAGGGTCAGAGAGCTCTCAGAATGCATCAAAAAAAATCTTAATTTGTGTTCTGAAGATGAACGAAGGTGTTACAGGTTTGGAACGACGTAATAAATGACAGAATTTTCATTTTTGGGTGAACGATCCCTTTAAGTAGAATATAAACTTTCATTCATTCAAACCGACTGATTCATTCATGATCAAAGCAAAGTTCACTTTATGAATGAATCACTGACTCGCACGATTCATCAGCAAAATAGAGCAAAAAGAGTCAAAATGTACAATGTTGCCTAAATAACTGACAATCAAATTGTTTATTGAGCTGTTGTATAAAATGAATGTCACATGCAATTGTGCTGATATTCCGGAAAATAGCACTACACTGGTGTGATGTTTAACTATATTAAGTTATAAACGCTTAAAATAAATAAATAAAAACTTATCTGGAATTTTGGGGGCATTTCAGACCTTGCATGACGCTTAAGTTATGCCAGCGCCAGACTAGCTTGCTTGTTAAGCATTATGGAGGGTTAAGTTAGGCTGTATTGAGATGTTTTAATAGTATTTTAATTTCACAGCAGTGACAAACAGTGCCAAACTTTAGGACAAATATGATTGTTACCTGGCTGTCACCAATGAGGAAGGTCAGGGAGCCGTCGATGGTGAGATCGGGAGGGGTTCGCGAACACTGGCAGAATAGACCAAAAACTAGGCTGAGAGGGATAGACTTACGATGTTTGATCAGTTTGCTGCCCCCAAAAAAGAGTGTTAAATTCACGAATATTAGGATATTTTTGATTTCTATTTTGGTCAGATTGTTAAAATTACACCACAAGCAAGACATCATTTTGGTTGTATAATTTATTAAATTTCAGTGTTCTTCTTTCAAATAAATATATGGTAAATAATAATAATAATAATAGGCTAATAAAGAAAAGTTAAAGCAAAGTTATGTACAATCCAAACATATACAACAGAAAGCCCTGCTCACAGGAGTCCCTGGAGTGCATACATTCTTTACTGAACACACACACACACACACAATCAGTGGCAATGCGTTTCTATGATTCTTTAGTGAAGAATTAGAAAAGTACATTAATACTGTCAGCAGCCAGCGTGAATACATGAAGAAAAGGAAAGATGGATAATACAGAATCATTTCATGATAAAATATTTTAAAACCATGAAGAGGTCAACATCTACGCACGCACACACGCACGCACACACACACACAGATAGATCCCTTGTCATTTGTTCATTGCATTGCACTGCTAAAGTGAGTATCATGTATGAACAGCAGCATATGGAGAGGTATGAGAAATACAAAAAACGGACGCGCTCGTACAAACATTTGCACGTGCCCGTGTAACAATAGCAACCATAATTCATAGTTCAAGTAGTGGAAGTGTCGTCTTTTGTTCCCCGTGTAAATTAATACTATGGTAAAATCAAACAGAAAAGTGTCACATGCAGATTCCTGCCTAAAAAAACCCCCAACACTGAACGATGACGTAATCCTAAAACACATTCATTAACTCTGTCAATCAAACATCAAGCTCCACCCACTTCTGACTTCCTCAGCTCTGCTTGTGTAATAGGCAGATAGTGGCCAATAGGAGCACGGCAGCTAGTGAGCCAATAGGAAAGCGGGAGTCTTGTGGACCAGTAGAATATTAAGAGGCCTGCTCATTAGCAAAACAGCAGTTTAAGAGACTGGAATTTAACCCAGTAGCCAATCAGAAAGCAGCGGTTGGATCCGATGAGCCAATGGGAAGCGGGATCATTTTCTCTTTGACGTGCTCGGCCGCTTGGCCTGCCACAGGTGACCGTGGATGGTGAGAGCGTCTACGCTGACCGACACAGACTTGGCGGGGATGACGGTGAACTGCTTGCGGTCGGAGCTGTATTTGTAGAGTCTGTCGATCATTTTGCGGCTGATGGCACGTGGTCCCGTTCCTTTGAGCTTGACGATCTCCTCTGTTTCGGGGGAATATACGTACAGCGCCCTGAACTGACATCCACCATCACGGAAAAGGATTATCAGGTGGTTGGATTCACACCGCTCGATTTCCTGTGGAATTATGGCAATGATTTAATACATGCTCAAACATATATTGCTGTATATACAGATAAATATAAAAGTAGCTGCTCAACAAATTTTTTTATTTTTTACGTTGTTTAATATGCAATACTGTCTTGATAGTAAATGATCTATTTATCTATCTATCTATCTATGCCAATAATATAGCGCTTCATTTTGGAGAAGCGCTGTGAGCGCATGAAGTTTAAAAAAAAGCAACTCGGAACAGAAAAGCGCCCGACGTCATTCGCGTTTTTTTGCATTGTTCAATCGAATGAATGGAGAGGCGGGCCTTCCGTTGTGGTGACAAACGTTTACCGTTGCTTAGAAAGTCCGGAGACTGCAATGATGGAGGAGAAACTTTTGGTGTCTGTCGCGGGTTACCCGGAGCTGTATTTTTTAAGGTTTTTGCTAATATTACAGTTTACATAACAGCAAAACCCAAAGATTTTAGAGCGCTCGTGCTATAATCCTTTGATTAGACTGACAGGGCAGCCGATTTGGTGGTTGCCTAGCAACATAAAAGTCACAAAAAACGTGGCCTCGCGGATTCAGACCTAAAAAATGCGTTCGGTCTGATCGGGGCCTAATAACAAATCATGCAAATATACTATGCACAGTATACATAAAATGTATTGCATAAGTAGGGTAGTATGGTAGCATACAGGTTTGAACATCCTGAAAGTGTGCTGTCATAGAAACTGCACTCACCTCCAGAATGGCGTTCTTCTGGGCTTCATTGACTTTTCCCGCAAGACAGCAGTGCTAAAATATCTACATAAATAAAAATAAAAAAAAGTTAAAATACATAAATGAATTACCAATAAATAAATACGAATAAATATGAATAAACAAATTAATTAATAAATAAATAAAATAATGCATTAAAAATAAATTCAACATTTTGGCATAGACCTATCATTTTAAGTCCAGAAAAGTGGGCCGCACACTGATGGTCTGTTCCCACTCACCTGTGTGAACTGGCCCCTCCTGACGCCACACTGTCACCTTCAGTAGCAGCAGAGGCCAATGAGAGAGACGATCCGGAGGGAGCAGAACAAAGACTAACCGCTGGAGAGAGGAAGAGTGATGTTCTAATCAAATGTAGCATGTACAGATGCACAAATTCAGGCATGTCAAGTCAGAAATATGGCACATTAAAAGGAAAGCTTTCTTACGAGCAGAACAGGAAGATTCAGCGCGATGCAGTGATTTAGGGCGGGGCCTCCTGTTACGTGGGCGTGGTTTGGTCACACCCTGTTCCTCCAGAAGTTCTTGCTGCTTCCTGCTCAGGTACTCCTGTTTGATCAACTCCCTCCGAGCCTTTTCTTCCTCTTTACGCACACGCTCTTCCTCAGCTTTTCGTCTGATATAAACACACAAATGACATCAAATGTATCTGCTGCAGCCCTTCTACAGTATTTACTCACACAGAGGCACACTGGATCGACCGTGATTGATACCTGGCTTCATCTCGTTTGAGCTCTGACCCCGCCTCCACCTGCTGCTTACGTATTCGTGCCTCTTCGGCCTTACGCTGCTGTTTGAGGAGGAACGCAGCCCTCTTCTTAGCCAGCTCATCCTCTGCTTTCTGATCATCCTACATACAGAAAAGGAAAATAATAAAGCAATAAGCCCCAAGAAGCTGTGGTTTACAGTGAATTTATAACAGCTAAGGGGCGTTGTTAGGCACGACGTGAAGCGGAGCTTTTATAAAACAGTTATTCCATATACGTAGTAAGGTTTCACAAAATAAAACAGA